GTTCTTAATTGTTAGACCCTCCCATTAATTTGAGTGATTAAGAGCACACCAGGTGTTGGAGGATGGTTTGGTAAATGATGATTTTTTTTGACCACTTTTTTGTGAGCGTAAAACAAAAAATTTCGTTTCTACTAAGTTCCAAGACATTTGAAGTAGTTTTTAAAAAAATATTTTTTATTTTTGCTTTTACAATTAGTCAAGCTTAATTTTGGTATTTTATTTTTGTTGGAACAGAAGGCTGGGACATATAGCAATGATAAAGGGTAGGCTTTTCACACCCAGGAGAAGCTCATTAACATCTTTAAGGCTGAAAAAATGCCTCTCAACTTCTTGAGGAAGTACAAGCTGAGTTGAAAAGAAGGGGCCGAGGATGCAGGAACAAGGAAGATGAGCAGGAAATATTACCCATGTTTTATATTACTTTATGGGATCATGGGCAATTTTATTTAAAGGTTCTTTTTAATAACAAAAAAAAAAAAAAAACTGAAAATACAGCAAATGAAAATGCTAACTTTCCTTTTGTAAAATGTAAGTGTGGATTGTGCTGGAACTCTTGCAGCATTAAGGATAGACCTCAATCCAATGATGCTCTGCAATAATATATTTGCTGTTCATCTGAAGTTCTATTAATCTAATTTCAAGAAATGCTGAACTGCAGATTGAATTTTTTATTCTGCTGTATAAACCTTTTCCAGTTTTCCATAAATGCAGGTAACCTGCCTTACCAGATGGTTTGATATGCAGATGCTCTGAAGCTGATGAGAAAGTAGCAGGGTTTCAAAAAGCATTTGGCAGAACATGAAATGAACCATCTGTTCATCACCAGTTTGCCCAGGAGAGCCTTAACAGTAAAACTTAGAATTTAGCAGTAGAACTCGGTCAAACTTCTTGTTAAACCCGCCAGGACAGAAACAAAAGATTACTATATGTATATATATTTATGTCAATTTTGTAAAAAAGCTAAATACATTAAGTAAATAGCAATCAAGGTTTTGATTAATTTCCTTCACAGTAACGTCAACAACAAAAGGATATTATCAGATAAAAGCAATCTAGGAGGATAGACGGGAGCATATGCTGGATATTTCTATGTTAATCTCGGAATGTCAGTGAGGTTTATTGTGATAAGCATTTGTTTGCTATTTTCTGAAAAATCACTTTTTTTGAGATATAATTTTTTGTAATCGATATTTTGTGTTAATCTGATAAGAAAAGCAACTTTTATTTAGTCTTTTAAGAAAAATGCAACTGTGGTACATATTTATCCCATCCTTTTTTGTTAGTCCTGCTTAATAATTAGAGTGTTATTACCTTCTGACTAAACTACCGGTGCAATGATACAAAGAAACAATTCTTGTTGTTGGAAATTTCAACCATTTAACTTTTTCCTTAGATATGGATAAGTTTATGAATTAGAATTTGATGAAACACAATAAACACTAAATATTCTGAAGTTGTTTCATACATCCTGAATAGTACTTTTACTCATTGTCTTCCACACTTTGAGTCCAGGTGGTGGGGGTTGCAGTTTCACCAGACTCCCAGACCTCTCCCCAGGTACGACAAGCTCTGCTATGTGAAAGCGGCTCTACTCTGAGCTTCTCCCGGAAGGTCGCTCTCCTCCACCTCTATCTCTAAGCCATTGCCCAGCCACCCTGCAGAGAGAGCTCCTTTGTTCTTTCAGTCATGATCAAGATTTCATGACCATAGGTGAGGGTAGGAACATAGACTGACCATTACATCAAGACCTTTGCCTTATACCTGATCTCTTTTCTCACAGCAAGAAACCCGAGCAGCATCCACCCTATTGTGGCAGTCACACTAATTTTATCTTTTATCTCCCGCGCCGAAGGGGGCAGGGCCCATTTTTGAGCTAAAAGGTCAAACCAGTGAAATGATTACCAGCCTACCTGGTTTTACCCAGTCATGGTAACAAATAAAATAGATGCAGAACCCCATGAAAAACCACAAAAGCTTTCATGTTCTTGTTGTTACTCTTTCAAAGACCAAATCATGGATTCTGATAAAGCAGATATAGCAGCAGCTATGCGTACATCCTCCTGTGCTGCCATGTTTTTTTTTTGTTTTGGTTGTGTGCTCATCACCTCTTGGTTTTGTCACAGTTGTATTTCCTGCCCTAAATTATCATACAGAACATGATTGGCTGACCTGTTTTAAATTCAGCAGCAATACCTGTGGCTTTAGGCCAGATATGGCAGGGGGAGTGTTGGCATAGAGCAGTGCGCTTGGGCTCTGGGAAGTGTCCAAGTAACCGGTTTTCCCCACAGTCTGCACTCTTGGTTTCTGAGCAAGATCCTTAACCCCACATTGCTCCCTGGGCACCGCAAAGTGGCAGCCCACTACTCCCCAAGGGGATGGATTAAATACAGACTACTACAGACGTAAATTTCTCCAGTGTGAAGACAATAAAGTTCAAAGTCCAAAATAATTAAACAGGTTTACACAAAAATGTCAACTCTTTTCACAATAATGTATTAGTGTATATTCTATTTCTGTCATCTTCTTGTAGTAAAACTAATACAAGAAGATGACAGTTAAAAAAAAATGTTGAAGATTTGGCAAGTTTTGAAACCTGAAATGCAAATAGCAAAATCACTGTGCACATTGTTTTTCTAAGTCTTTTTGTTTTTCAGAATTTGAGATTACATTGTGGACAAGTAGATGTCTTTTTTCATTAAGGAAGAAAGTCAGCAAGAAAAGATGAAAATAAATTAGATAAAAAAACAACCATTTTTACCTTTAGAAAACAGTTACTGAAAATCAAAAGTCAAATCAAATCAAAATCCTTGCTTGCTGTTTATAACCCAACTTTAGATTTAATTTGAATTTTTGGTAAAAAGTTTTTACAGATAACCTCGCTGTACCTGTTAAATGTGATGCAACAATCAGCAGCAACTGCTCCTAGAAACAGCTAGTTTCTACAGTAATTAAATCCAACCATCAACATTTGAGAAGCTCAGTAATAAAGAGTTAATTTTTCCTTTTTAGGGCTCTGGTCACAAAGCGATTTAGGTATTTTCCTCTGTAACACAAATCAGATCTAAGTGACACTGTTGGTACAGGCCTAATGAGTTAATCAGTGTAGGCTGAATGCCAAGCATCATCTAGTGCTGTTTAACAAAACCTGCCGAGAGAAGGCAAAGATGTGATACGCAGACTGAGATCTTTGTTAAAGGGTCAAACAAAGACGTGTGTTTGAATAGCTTAGCAGAAATGAGCTGACATCAGTTTCCTTGGTTGGCTCTTTTTTTAGAAGCAATTTCAAGTTTCTCTTCAAGAAACACACACATTACTTATTTTATTTTTTGTATAATTTGGAGCTCAAATGTATAGGAAAGTTGGAGTGCCCTAATGGGTATAATGTAATATTTAGGATTGTTAAGTAAAATATTAAATTATACTGTTGATTCCTCAGAATTTAAATGAGTAGAACATGTGAAAGGAAAAAGGATTGTTGAGCCTTAAATCTTTTTATGATTTCTTATCTTTGATCTAAAAAATATCTTCCAGATATTATCTATATACTTGAATGATGTATGTTAACCTCTCTTTTGAAAGGTAAACTGCATCTCAACCAAATGCTGGTTATACAGACCAAAAGGCTTCAGGCTTAATTTTTGAAGTACATAATGTATCATAAATGCAAAAGTATGTGGTCACACTGACAAATTAATTAAATGATATTCTAATCACTTTAATGGCTTAGGGTAAAGAAACACAGTCAGGATCTCAACCTGGTACAACATTTAATTAAATTAAAGAATAAGATGTAATCAAAAGTTTCCTTGCACATAAAAGTAGACAGGTAAATACTGACAGTATTGTTTTCAGGAAAACTTTTTAGTTTTATAGCAAGAACTTTGGTTTTAAACATTCAACAGAATTAAGATGTAAGCAAGGTTTGATCCCCACAGGTTTTCCTCATTCCTTATTCCTCAGTGCTGATGTGTTAGTCTACCAGTCATCTGGCAAACACAGCCTAACATTGGTAATACCATGCTTGATACAGGCAAAGTGACTTCAATTTGAAAGTTCTTCCCTGACTCTTTCCAAGAGGTCTTGCCTCTGTGGTCTTCTAAATCAAAATATATCCCCTTAAAACATGTAACCAGAAGGCTTCTGAGTATGATGTGACAATGGGGTATAGTAGAATTTAAGAGTTTCAGGTGTTTTCAGTTTATTTTTAGGATACCTAAACATTTAAAATTGTTTTCACTTTCTGTTCTTTTAACACCGGGTAACAGAATTGCAGCTGGCTAGCTCAAGTGGTAAGTCACTTTTCCTGCAAACAGGGAATCTGGGTTTGTATCACAGCCGGGGGAATGAGCTGCCAGTGTGGGTACTTAGGCAAGAACCTTCCCGCCAATGCCTGCTTTGGGGAGTGTTGGTCTAGTGGTTAGGGCATTGCCCTTGACCCCACACTGCTCCCTGGATGCCGCACAAAGGCAGCTCACTGCTCCCAAAGGGGATGGGTTAAATGTGGAGAGTTCAATCCGCTAAATGCAGAGAGTTAATTTTGTTGCTCTTTACTTAAAATTGTAATGACAATAAAAAAAACGTTGGAAAAAGAATTGGTCGCTTATCAAGGCTGTAGCATATCAGAATTGGTTTAAGAATTGAAGAATCATGGTCTTGGAACAAACTCTATTGAAAACTTGCTTGAAAACTGGGCCTCTACTGGTAAACCAAACACATTAAATAAACTCTCATCTAGTATGAAAACCAGTAGTCAAGCATACAAATTGACTACAGTACATATTGAATTAAATGGCTACAAAAAGTGATCATGTGCATTTTCCTGTGTCTCCTGTTTAAGGAGGTAGTATGAGCCTATGATTAGGATTTTGACAAACATGACAAATGGAGAAAAAACTAATACATAGAAAATAAAGAGACATAAAAATATACTTTCAAACGTTACAGAATATCATAACAACATTGTTTGTTTTAAAAAGAAGAAAAAATCACAAGCTCTTTACCGTTGGGGCTTTCTTCATCTATCGCCACGATTGTAGCTGGAGGACCAGAACGTGAGAGTTTACATTCTGAAATGATAGAAAAGTCAAGAAAAGATTAGACTTATACTTTATGATGGTTATTTCTCTTCACATCTACTTTGTTAAGAAAGAGGAAATATAAAACTTTATTGGTAACCATGTGGGTGGTTTTATTTGATAAACACTTAGTATTTATGAGAAAAATGATTTTGGAAAAGCCCTGAAGTGTGTATAAAATGCAGCAAGTACAACAGCAATAAACTGATATAGAAAACTAAAGTATGAGCTTTGCAGATATAGTCTATACTTTATTACCCTCTTTGTTCTTTCCTCAGTAAGAATTCATAGACTGTAAGAATAAAAGCACAAGAATTTTATGACTTAAATGTAATGTAGTGTAAAACAAGGTAAGGTAAGAGAAGAAGGAACAGACAGTAAAAACAGATTAAAGCAGCATTTTTAAGAGACAAGCTTTATCCACTATAACCACCTTGGCTGGGTCAGCGGGATAAATTAACCAGCACAGTATGTGAACATGTTTAACATAGGAAGAGAAAGGAGATTAGTCTTACCCTCATATTGCCAGTCTGCAGTTAGTTACATCCACACCACACCAGAATGAAGGAATATGGACAGAAGTCAGGAAGGGATTGAAAGAAGAAAAAATCAGAACAGAAATATTAGAATTAAAAAAAACACGTCAAGGACAGGAAAAAGGCAAAGAGTGGTTTGAAAAGATAGCTGCAATTTTTGAAGTACATCTGTGCTTGATCTAGATGTGTGGAAACAGTTAAATGAATTACACTCTTGAGGCTTTAGTTGCCAAATTACTTCAACCTATTGATACAAGATAAAACTTCATTAGCCATGACTAGAAGCACGAAATTGTTACAATCACATTAAAGCATCCGCTTCTATTTAGCCTTTCCTCCTCATCCCTTGTCTTTGCCAGGATTCATGAAAACATGCCACATGCATTAAATGATGGCCAATCATTAGACTACAGCTACATAAAATGGTTGGGAAAATCCCAAAGGAAGCCTGGAAGATGAATATCTGCTAACCTAGAAATAGATTTCATGGAACAATGATCACACACTCACTTTCTCCCCCTATACCACTTTCTCCTGTCCTCCATTATAACTCATTACTATGTAACATGGATGATTTCAACAATCACCCAAACTACGGCTGAAACAATCAGATTAATCATGATGAATCGATCATTGAAATAATCGTCAACTAATTTAGTATTATATTAATCAACTCTAAAACATGTCTTCAGCTGACAGAGCAACCCATCCTGAGCAGCATTTATACAAACTTTATAAAAAAAAATATTTAAACAAGATAAGAAAAACTTTTTTGGCAGTCAATATGCTCTATCCAGAACTCTTCTGTTTAAAAAGACTTATTTAAAGAACCTTTGGCTATCCAATTATTAATCGATTAATTGCAAAAATAATTGACAGATTATTGGTTTGCTAAATAATTTTTAGTTGCAGCTCTAATCCAAATTATTGATTGTTTTAGCAGCAACTAGAAAAACAAAATAAATAACACCATTTCAAAACTGAGCAAAGGTACTTGATATCCTCTTAAAGCTTTAATGAAATCAATCTGTAGAAGATTCAGCTGATTTGACATAAATAAGAAAGACAGACCTGTCTGTATAAGTTCTCACAGATGACTGTATGTCAGAGTGCAAACACCAAGCATTAAGTGAAAAAGCTCTCTGTAGACCTCAGAGAAAGGATTGCCTTGAGGTACAGATCTAGAAAAGGATACCGGTACATATTTTTTCTGATTGAAAAGGTTTTAATGAGCACAGTAGCTTCCATCATTCATAAATGGCCGAGGTCGGGAACCACCAGGGCTCTTCCCAAAGCTCCCTGACGGTCTTAAATGGAGCAAGTTGGGGGACAAGCCTAAGAAACTTATAGGGGAGGGTGGCCTAGTCGTTAGGGCATTGCACTTGGAATCCAGAGGTTTTGAGTTCACGACCCACTCCCAAAGACTGACATTCTGGCTCCCTGAGCAAGACCCTTAACGCCAGAGATGCAGAGAGTTCTTTTATTTTAGGGGAGTGCTGGCCTAGGTGTTAAAGCAGTGCATTTGTGCTCTGAGAAGGTTGCAAGTACCTGGTTTAATCTCCACAGACTGCCACTCTGGGTCCCTGAGCAAAGACCCTAACCCTATAGCATTTTGAACTGTCTTGCCACTGAAATTTCCTAAATAAAAATACTTGCCTTGCCTTGCCTATGTGGATGTTATACAGCCACTCAAACTGGCAGACTTGTCAGGATAAAGGGAAAGATGAATGCAGCACTTTACAGAAACATCCTGGATTAAAACCTGCTCCAGAGCAGTCTTAAAATTGGGCTGACCGAATAATTAATTTTCCAGAAAGACAATGACCATGCCCTGCATCTTTTAGATGTCCCTCTGTTACTGTACACCTGATTTAAATTATTGCATAACCTCCTTAGCAGCTTTCAAGTGCTTCAGAAATCTATTGATTATTCTTTTATACAAGTCAGGTGTGTGGCAGTGAAAAAACATCTAAAACATGCAGGACATTGGTATGTGAGGACTAGGATTGACAGCCACTGGTCTAAAGAGGTATGCTTTAAGGTTATTACTTTATCTCAGCTTCTTATTTTTAAGTAAAAGAAGTAATACAGTTGCTTGTTTGGATGACAGTCAAAAGAGAGAACAAGTGGAAAATATATTATAAGAAGCCTCAAAACATGACAAACTAAACAACTGATGTGTAAGCACTGTGAAAATATCCCAACTGGTTAATCATTAGCCATTGGCAATGCTAGATGTAAAGCATCACCCCTTCTTCATAAGTTGTGACAAAAACAGCTGTTTAAAAGGACCGTTTGACAGTATGTTGAATATTTCTGCGATGCATTTCGTTATTTGTAGCTTACTCTGTTATTGTTCATTAACGAGGGAGAGCTTAATATTGTCTAAAATTGGGAAGCAAAGATGGAAAAAAGGACCCCAAGAGAACCCTAAAAAATAATCACTTGATTTTTAACAATAAAAGAAAAGGGGGAAAGATTGTTTAATATCTAGTGTGAGTAGGATAAAATAAAATGAGGGCAAAAATAAATTGTTTATTTTATTTGTCAGTTTTTATGCTGGTATGGTACGTTTTTTGAGTTCACAGGTTTAGTTAGAAAATATTCACTGGAATGCTGTTTTTTATGGATGTTGGGCAGCTTTATTGTAACAGAAATATATATGGCTCAAAAACTCACTGAGCAGTGCCGACAGATAATGGGGGTTAAAGTTGACACACCACTATAATGTCTCTTATTCGCCTCAGGAGCTAGTAACAAACCTATAACAGACGCAGAAGAAAATGTATTTGAACAGTCAGAGGATTGTGACACAGGTCAGGCCTGTAGAGGTTTTTCCCAAGGGTAATCCTGTACATGTCTGTTCACTTACAGCCAAGGTGAATGCTGCATATTGATCATCTACTGCAGCTCATTGCTCCAATATGAAATGGCTGAATTTGATGTTCAGCATGTCATTTAGCCCTGGTATAGGCCTGGTAATGCGTTATTTGATTCTGGATCTTGGCATCCGAGAACTAGACCTGAGCACTTCATATCTACTGAATGGTAAGTTAAGTTACGATTAAGTTACCATTTTAACCTTTTTTTAAACCCTTTTTGGAGTTACAATCCTATACATTTAAGTTGTCTCTAGTTTAGAAACTTTAATCATTCCACTGTAATTGGTAGCGGAGAGAAAATAAGTAAATAGGGAGAAAGTTCCCTCTGTGTTTAATCCATCCCTGAGGGAGAGGTGTGCTCCAACACTGATTAGTGCATGAGATGAAATCTTTGGTTAAGGGTCTTCCTTAAGGTCCAAAGTGACCATCTGACTTTCAAGCTGGAGACCTTTAAAGCTTCTCTGGGATGCAAACACCCAGCTCTCTAATCACTATTCCATCACTACCATCTGGCAAAAACGCTAAATAAATAAATAACAGCTGTCCATCAACCTTAGATATTCCAAAGTCATTTTACTAGGGTGTATGCATAACAGGGCCAATTCCATCCATCTTCTAAAACTTATCTGTCAGAGTCCCGAAGGCTGGTGCCTATCACCAGCAGGCGACGGGCAAAAGGCGGGGTACACCCTGGACAGTTCACCAGTCCATTGTAGAGTTATACATTCTCACAAGACTATTCACATACGCACACCTACAGCCAATTTAGCAACACCAATCAATCTAACAGGCATGTTTTGTGGCCATGGGAATACCCAGAGAGAACCCAAACATGCATGGTGAGGTAGAGTTGTTTGATCTACTACAAATGAGACAGCCTTCTGACTCTTTAGGGCACATGTTGGGCAGCTGTCAAAGCAGCCTTTTAAAGAGCAACTTTTTGAAAAGCCTGATATCTCAACCATTCATCATTTAAAACAGCTTTAAACATACGTTGGAATAAAAGTAACTACGTCATACACTTTTAGTATTTTTTCCATTTTTACCTGTGTTTTTTTAATATGTTAATTTTGTGTTCATCTGATGTTCTTAGTGTGAATGTCAATGTAAATTTATTTCTAAAGCAATTGAAAATCAGCTTGTACATTGAACAGAGTTTTGTGCAGTATTTATGAAACCACCTATAAAATAAAACAACATATTCTCATAATCAGTTCGTATGAAATCGTACGAAAAGTTATGCACAGTATTTCGTACGTTTTTGAAGTTTTTCCTCGAAAAAACATATCAGTGCGCATGCGCAGCCAGACAGACGAAAAAGCAGATCGGCGGAAGGACATAAAACTGGGACGGACAGTGCAATAATTACTTCATGATGTCTCTCACTAGGTTGCTTGCTGTTTTGTATGTTAGGGTTAGGGTTAGGGTTAATTGTATGTTAAATTGTCTGTTATTGAAGATGCGCATGCGCACGGATATTTTGTCTCGAGGCAAGATGTAAAAATACGACGAAATACAACGAAAAAAACGTCAAAAACGTACGAAATACTGTGCATAACTTTTCGTACGATTTCATAGGAACTGATAATGAGAATACACTTAATAAAAACATTGGAATAAAACAAGTGAAAATAAAACCCAGTACATTAAACAAATAGGACAAATGACGGAAAACAAATAGGACAAAGACGGAAAAACAATTACTCGGTCCCTTCTGCTTTTAAGTATTGTTTTGGGAACATGTAAGAATAATACTAGCAACAACCATTACAATTTCGAATAACAACCAGATTTCTTTACCAGACTGACAGCTCTTGATTAGATACTACAGTAACTGGGTATAGAATGCTGCCATGGAGTTCATCATTGCTGTTGGGCAGAAAACTTTAATTTATAGAATTCAAATAAATTATTTTTTTTAATTAATGCCCTACTTTAAAGAAAAAAAAATTCTCATGAAAGCTGTGAAAATAGCACATCTAGTTCAATACATCATATTAGTCAATATAGCAGACAGACAAGAAAACAAAATGTACAATAAAGAAATATTTTTAGACATACCTGGTTTTCATCCCAAAGCAAACACTTCCTGATCTACTATGAATTATGCAT